GGGGGGCTGGAAAGGAAGCAAAAGGGATTTGGAGATAGGCACAAGGTGAATGGAAAACAAAACAAAGCTAAACCAGTTAAGAACAGCGAAAGGTTTAGAAGTTCCTTTTCTATCAAATGTCAACTCTTCTGTTGATGAGATGAACACCCCGGCATTCTGCTGTGGACCCTGAGCCATCCCAGACCACCAGTCATGTGGATCCCCACTGCAGGGCAGCACTTAGGTGAACTGACCAGTGGGTAAGCTGTGTTTGAACCACAGCTCTCAGTGCTCTCAGTTCTTCAAATCACAAGAACTTGCATGGAGATGTTGCCGTTCAACTCCAACTGATTGAACCTAAGGGGGTGGTTGGTTGAGGGACTCTTTGCGTTCTCCACTGGGCTTCCTCCACATCAGCATCTTCCGACACATCGCCCAGATGCGTTTTTCAGACAGATCGCTGACTCGCCAGGCGCTGCTGCAGAAGAAGAACAAGATGCTCGAGGAGGCCCTGCAGTTGGCGCTCAAGGCGCAAGAGAAGGCCTGGCACGGAGCGACCCACGTGGCGCCGCGTGCGTGGGTCGCGAGTCGCCGCGGCCGTCGACTGGGCCGAGAAAAGCGGCGCGGAGGGGGTGGAAGGGAGCAGTTTTGATGAGGTTTGGGGGATGGAAGACTTGGGGGTTCTCGCTTGGCGTGTTCATTCCAGGAGTGGAGAAAACCCAGTTGTAGAGGACTGGAAAGGGTCGAGCTCTGTTGTTCAAACCAATTGTTCTATCAACCATCTTTGCGTCCTGAGCAAGCCCCTCAATCCCTCACGGTGCAGGTGGAGAAGCGCCTCTTAGAGCTCAAAGAGAAGACTGAAGCTCTGCAGACGCAGAATGACTACCTGGGCACGTGCCTTGGCGACTGATCATTATGGGGTACTACTTCTAAGCTGTAGCTGTTGTAGCTAAGATCATTAGGAATTGAGACCTTTGTGAAAGTTGGTGTTGGAGCGCGTTCAAAAAGTGCCTTAAGGCCAACTCTAAAAGCTTCAAGCGCTCACCTGCAGCGCTGGATACCAAATGATGCCTGCATGTCTGGCCAAAAGCTGTGATAATGTGTGTTTCTCTTGCGTTTCATTGATGAGGAGAAAACTATACAGTGACTATATACATCTATTTGGTGTTTATCCATACTAATGAGGGCACGGCTGTTTGCATTGATCGTTGCTTCACTATTGACCTTTTGTCATCAGAACGAATGGCCTGTCACATGAGGAGTGGGGGCACCGGGCCAAAAAGACGGCCAAAAAAGTCACCTGATGAACGTCAGTCACCTGTGTCTTCCAGGCCCCCGTTGGGCCGACCACCAAGGCCTTGGTCCAAACATACATACTAGTAACAAGAAGCTACTAGTAACAAGTGCAGAAGCTACTAGTAGCTTCTAGCTACTAGTAGTAATGCACTTGTTACTCGTAGCGATGCACTTGTGGGAGTCTTGCAGAGTCTGCCAGACTTAGCGGATCCGACCCAAGGCACATCCAGACCCGAGATGTTCATGCACCTCCTCCTTGTTTTTCTCTCCCCCCCCGAGGCCCTTCAAAACACGCCCAAACAACCACCAAGACGCTGCGACCGGTCGCGGCGCGGGGATCCACACAGAGCCCGCGGGGATCCACTGCGGTTTGGTTCGAGGCGCATCGATGGGAACGAGGAAGACAAGGGCGCCTTGAGGCGTGGGAGTCGGGGAGTCGGGCTTCGGGGGTCGTGTGGCGTGGCAGAGTGCGACACCGGTGTTCGGTGGGTTTCGGTGTGATAGATGTCGATTCCTGGAAAGCTTCCAGTACTGAGTGTTGTGTCAAAAGTTGGAAGTGTCATGTTGGAACTATGGATGGTGTGTTTTCTTGGAAGCCCAGAAGATGGCGAAGTCATGAGAAATACCCAACTTAGGCCAACTTGCAACGCTCACCACGGCCAATTTCCAGAACACGCATTGAAGCCCTTGACAACAGCTTGCTTGCTTCTTCCATGCCAATGAGGTCACTGGGCTCAAGCCCGGCATGAAAAGTCACCAACTGGCCAGTCACGCCGGAGCTCCAAAAAGCTGGTTCACCGGCCCCAACGGGTTCGGATTCTCCGACGCTTCGTCCACTTGATTGAGAAGACGACCAGAAGGGTCTATCCGTCTATCCAGTCGATGGTCGCGGTTTGGCTTCGAGAAGAATCGGTTTTCTTGGATTCTAAAGAAGCTACTAGTAACAAGTGCATTGCTACTAGTAACAAGTGCCTTACTAGTAGTAACAAGAAGCTACTAGTACTAGTAGTCTCATAGGCCCGTGCCTTACTAGTAGTGACAAGAAGCTATTGACATAACTTAAATAATTCTAATTTAATTTATGTTAATAGCTTCTTGTTACTACTAGTAAGGCACGGGCCTATGAGACTACTAGTAACAAGTGCATCGCTACTAGTAACAAGTGCCTTACTAGTAGTAACAATGTTTGCTATTAGAAACAAGTGCCTTACTACTAGTAACAAAAAGAATTTAAGTAGAATTGTAATTACTAGCAACGCGCGCGCGCGCGGGTAGGAAGCTACTAGTAACAAGTGCCTTACTAGCAGTAACAAGAAGAAGTAGAGGCCAAACAAAAGAACATTGCACAAATATACTCTTATGCAGAGGCCGTAAATGGGTCTTCTCCAGATCTTTGGGCAATAGCCACACAGTGGTACTCAAAAAGCGCCATCGTTTTCGTTTTGGAGAAGAAACCAATGTGCAGGGTGTCAAAACGAGAAGAGATTCCAACATGTGAGGGCAAGGCACAGTTCCCTTTGCAAGAACAGGTCACCCTCTTTTGCTCCCAAAACGATACACTCAAATCCATGGGTTGTTTGACCAATTAAAGTCCATATTTTGTGAAAGAATTCCGATCACGACTGATGACTCCGAGTTCAAAGAGGAGACCGCTCTTTTTCTCCGGCCACGTCGAAGCCAATGGATGGCAGGTACGACTTGAGAAGGACTGAAGATGAGCTCCGACAGGCCGAGCCTTCGCCGGCGACGGGGCGATCGGGAATGGATCGACGCACTGACGCACGGCGACGGGAGGAACAAGGCTGGACGTTGTGTGTTGAAAGTGCCTTGAAAGAGCCTGGTGAACCCTCAAAGAGAGAGCCCCCTGGTTCGGAAGAAAGGGAGACTTAAAGCTCATTCTCATGGGTTTGGAAGGTGAATACACACCCAAATTCAGTGTTCAGAACGCGGAGGTGTTTTGAAAGCGTCCCCTTTTTTGACTCAATGGACTGGAACTCCGGGACTGTCCAAGGAATCTGGAAAACGGCTCCGTCTAGTCAAAGGCGACATCGCAGAAACGTCAGCGAACTACCCTGCGTAGAAAATGTGTGATGCCTGGTTTTCCGACACAAGCGGCCAACGCTATTAGATTGGAGGACATCGCTGGCAGGTTGGAGGCAATCGCTATTAGGTTGGAGGCCATCGCCAGTAGGTTGGAGGCCATCGCTAGTAGGTTGTTTCGGAGCACGAGTGTCAATCACACTTGACACGAGAAGTCAGAGCAAGCCTTGTCCGAAGAACATGACATGATGTCCGATCATGGGGTGATCAGAAAGCAACAGAACGAAACCCCGATGCCTTTGGACTCCTTTATGTGTCAAGCTCGTCATTGCCACTAATACTGCTCGCGCGAGGGCAGTAATCAACACTCTAGGAAAGGAGCGCAACTGGTCAAACCAAGTGAATCCAGGCTGGACTTGCACTCAAACCCACCTAGCTCGATGCCTAACGGCCACCAGAGTTGCTAGGCCACCGCCGTCAATGGCCAGCTCTTGCAGAAGCGTGGCTGGTCTTGCAGAAGCAGGGTTGACGAAGCGTGGATGGCGCAAGCGATGAGTCTGGCCAGGCGATTGGAGAACCCAAAGACGTACGAATGGCTTCCAACCGAACAACCGCGATGAGTCCGTCGCCGTATCAGGATCCTTCTGACCGGTCTGAGGTGGTGACACAATGACCGTCCTTTCCCAGCCTCACAAAGATGGAAGTGGATGTTTTTACCTGTTGCTTTTGCAGCTGTTGGACAAGAAGAGTCTTCCAGTTGGGGCAGCAATGTGTTGTTTTCAGGTCACTGGGTGAAGATGGGTGAGATCGGTGATCGTGATCCGCATGATAAAAATGACTTGCGTGTGCTGCCACTGAGGTGTGGAAGTGGAGGATCGCTACAACGAAGTGGAAGCCGAGAAGGCATGGCGTGGCGAGCCCCTTTTTGATGGTTCCGACCGAGGAGAGACCTCTCATCAGGGTTCAGGAGGCTTTTCAGGTTGATCCCTTTTCAGATCATGCCCTTTTCATGGGAGAGCAAAGCATTTTCTCCGAATGCTCCGCAACTACAGCTGGCTATTCGTAGTCTTGGATCTAAGGTGCTTTTCCGCCAGGAAGTAGTTTTGGGAAGCAGTTTTGGTCTGTGTTCTTGGCGGATTCGGGCGACGTTTGGGCGGCTTGTGTGGTCCCTAGGATTCCAATTAGTGCTCACCGCAAAAGTGCCGTACAACCAGGGGTGTGCTTCGCTTTGCGCTTGAAAGAAGGTGTTGGTACGAGGCCCATGGTGCTTGAAGAATGTCCTCCACTAACAAAAGCAACCACAACCACATCATTCAGAGGTCGGGCAACCGTCGGCGGCAACCAACGTGATGGTGGTTGCAGGTGGCGGTGAAAGCAGAGCTGGACTACATCAAGCGGGAGGACAGCGGGGTTGAAGAAGGATTTGATAATCCACACTACTACTTGAAGTAGCTGAGCGAAGCAGCTGCAACTATGGCTTGCCATTTTCCTAATGAAGGAGCCATTGACCACTTGCTAGCTCAATGGAGCCCACATGAATGTGGCCCAAACCATCTGTCTGAAGCATGGTCAAGCACCTGTGTGACTTGTCAGTGGAACGTGTGAGACGTCCACAATTCCTGAACTGTTTTGGGTGCAGGGGTAGAGAAAAAAGAAGCTTCCAACAGCATAGAGTAAAGCCTTTGAGTTCAAGAGCAGATCCCAACTGCTGCACCAGCACCAGGACATGCTGGATGAGACCGGCCGCACGAAGCCCATCCTCATCGAGTCTGAGTCGAAGTGGCTCGTGCTGGTGCAAAACGCTGGGGGGGTCCCAAACTGGTCAGAAAAATCCATTGCGACGTGCTTCGTTGGTTCATCTTTTCCCAGGTAAAACCATGATGTGGTTGTGCTTCAGGGGAGGCAAATGGTGTTATGTGTTGCTGCCTCCAGTGCCCTTGATGTGAAGGGGTTCTCGTTTTCCCTCGGTCACCCGGGTGGTTTGCCAATGTTTGCCAGATGTTTTCCTTCAACCGTAGTACATGAGTGTGTCAGTGTGTGCAATGTAGGTCTGTTGGACAAGCAGCTTGATCAGCCTTCCCTCATGACTCGTGACTGTTTCTCATTGCGCCTTGCATACGCCCTTTCTATAGATTGTTTGGAACTTTGGAGCTTCCTGATATGATTGGCATACCAGACACCATGGAAAAGGAGAAAGGGTTCTCATCCGAACGGTTTTTAGACAAGTGACCCCAACCACATCACATGAGCCTAAGCCTTTGGATTGAAACCAAGAGAGGGCAGGGCATGGCACCGCCCTTTTCATGAATCCAAGAATGCGGCTGAACGAGGCTCATCGAACGGCTCCAGATCAATGAGTTCCTTTACAGCTCCCAGCAGGCGTGGCCGGAGCTATAAAGCTTTGTCATGAGGGATGTTAGAAATGGTTGCGTCTCAAAGACTTAGAGTGTTAGAGATTGAGCCGCTGAATCTCTTTTTGAGAAGGACTCCAGGCACGAGCATTCAACAAGCCTGCTTGTAGGAGTCTTTATCTCCCACCCCCACAAAGACGTTGCTTTGCTCCACGACCAAAGTGTTCACCCTTCCGGCAGTTTGGGGTAGACCATGGAGTGAACCGAAGTGAACTCACGATGATCATCACGATGTTCGCGACCTACCAGTTCCGACGGGCGAAAGCCGGTGCCGGGAAAGGCACGAAATCCGGTGCCGATGCTGGTGGAGAAGATCAGTCATTTGCTGGAGATGCTGCATACGACGCAAGTGCAGTCGGACATGTATCTCCAGGACGGCCAGGGTCTTGCTTGGCAGTTTAAATTTGCGTGGAGGGAATCACGGGGTTGGGGAAAGGCTGAGGGCCGACGGGCGTTGGAAGCGTATGTTCATGTGTTTTCCAACACTGATTCATCTTGTTCTCAGAAGTCAAGCTACAAGCTAGGTATACATCGTGTTTGTGGTTTCTTCTTCCTGTGTTTTCCCTTGTGGATTGCTGCCGACCTCGCAGGACTTGCAACGCTCCAACTCCATGCTCCAGGCGCAGACCAAGCTCCTGTGGTGAAGAGTGGGCTGGGTTGGTTGGTGGCACTCGCAGCTGGAAATAGCCTATAGCGATGCAGGCAATGGTGCGTTGATGTTTTTCCCGGCAAAACAAAATCCAATGTGGAAGCTCCAGAATCAAGGGCAAGATGGAGCTGTGGATGCTGAGCATGGAGTGATGCTCTATAAGAGTATGGTGCTGGGGCATGCCGGGCATGTCCAAGTTGTTGGCCACTGTTGCTGATACGTTTCAAGCACGAAAGGAGAAGGTTTATGTTTAGAGTGCTCCATACCCACTAGAATCCACCTTTGAAATGCTGGTCGTTGCATCTCGTGCTGTCCAGAGTCAAATCCCTTTTTCGCCCGGCACCGTTCACTGCCGGTCTCGACCCTTCTCGCAGGGCTTGCGGGAGAAGAACCGGAACCTCTACGAGAAGGTCCAGATGTGCGAGACCTGGAAGGTGCCGAACGCGTCACGTCCTGGGCACGTCGTCACGTCGCTCTTCACGTTCCGGAGGGGAAAAGACACCAAGCGTTTCCGTGGGGGACAAGGCCATGGAGGACAGTAGAGGTCGGAAGTTGGACGGATCGCTTGGTCAACTGATCATCCAATAGTTCTTTCTCATCTCACTGTTGCATGTTCCTTGGAACGATGCCGTGATGGATTCTGGACTTCCAGCCCCAGCCGCGACCAGATGCGGGCGTTGTTGAAGATCGCCTCCAACGAGTTTGAAGTGAGGCGCGCGCAGCAGCTCAGATGCCGTTGGGGTTGGCATCTACGATGCATGGAGCCTCCATTGGGATAGGGAAGATTTCAACTCGGTCCAGTGAGTCCTCTGATCCTGATGCTCCGATTTTGTGAGTGCATGCTTGGTTTCATGACAGCGATTGGTGAGTTGATTCCCACCTGCAAATGGGTTCGAAACGGTTGTTGTCGGTCGGGGACAGCATCAATGAATTGATTGGGACGATTGGAGGAAAAGACCGGGTGAAGAGGATCCTGTCAGTTAGGAATTAAGAGGGATGGTCCTCTTCGTGAAAAACTGGAGGTGGGTTAGTGGGTCTCTTCAATTGCTTAAACAGATTGAGGTGGAAGTCAGGGTTTCTCGCAGCTGGTAGCAGGATGTAGCAGGAACCCTGGAGTATGTTTCGTTCACCAAGGCTTTCTTAGAGGGCCGATTTTGAGGCATATTCATTGGGAGGGTTGCACATTGATATGCTATCTTTATAGCATCTTCAACCCGCTTTTGATGTCTTGCAGGCAAAAAAAGAATCACACACATACAATTGACCCAATCACATGGCGCAGACTCTAAACGTTCGACAGAGAGAGAAAGAGAGAGAGAGAGAGAGAAGCTCTTCGTCGTTCATATGCCTTTCGGGTTGTCTTGCATACTTTGCATGGAATGGGTTTCTCAATCAGTGGCAGGAGCAGCGTGAAGGGACACAAGTCAAGTGTGAAGGAAGGCAACGCGCTCTACTTAGATGGCCTCCAATACTCCAACAAGGAGAAAAGCGGGAGGGTGGTTGCGTCTGGTTGGCATCGTGGCGGGTTTAACATCAATATGGTTCTTCTAATTCAGGTGATGTGGTGAATCTGCCAAACCTTTCTAAGGTCAGTCTCACCAATGTGGTTGCCAGGTTAAATACCACTGGTGGAGGTGCTCAAGACTGGGAGTCACAAGGAAGTGCATTGCTTTGAAAAAGCTGCTTGTGAGAAACAAACCTTTGCATTCACGTCAAGCTTACCTATTCAGCGGGTTCAATGCATTCGATGTTCTTGAAATGCAGCGCCCCAGCGGCCTGGAAGTCTTCCTAAGGTCTGGATGTCTCTGACATTCGGAGAATCCAGACTGGTAGGCCGTTTCTGACTGCATCGATATCATTTTCTGCCGGAAGCGCGCTTCCTTCCGCTTCGACGATGTTGAAAGGAGATTGGTGAGCTCAAGAAGTTGATTCAGAAT